TGGGCTGAGGGAGGCCAGGCCTGAGGCCCTGAGAGTTTCCTGTGCTGTGTTCAACCCTCAATAAACCCTCCTGTTTTATGCTGGCTGAGAGTCGCTCCGGTCTAGAGAACAGGGTTGCATCAACCCCTTCGGGGGTGGAGACCCGGGGGGTCCAGAGCGAGTGGACTCCCTGAGGGGGCCAACGACGAGAAACAGGTGTGCTAGGGCTCCGAGAGATGTGGCTCCAGGAGGTGGAGGGGCCTGACCCCGAGAGAGAGTGGACCCCCGCGAAGGGCTGTCTCACTAACAGGGGCATCCCTCATGGACCGCACAAGGCCAAGAGTGGGCACGATCTGTGAGTCCATGACACATGCACTGAAGGAGTAGTCGGCCATCTTACCGTACTTGGCTGCTTTTGCTGCTGCTGCTGCTGCTGCCGCTGCTGGGCTTCCAGCTCCTGGGATAAAGGAAGGAGAGGAAATCTCAGAAACCTGACAATACACAGACAAAGAACACAGCAGGCACACCGGTTGGCAGAGTCCGGTAAGCACATTCACTTGCCACCCCTGCAGGTCCTGGGATGTCCCTGATTCCGGGCACCAAACCAGGAATTCCACTGACACCAGGCCTGGAGCACCACCAGACCCTGGCAGGGCTCCAGCATCTGCAGAGAGCAACAGGAGTGAGACACAGCACGAGATAGGAGCACAGGGAGGAGAACCAATCCTCCGAGGGGAGAGGAGGGAAGTCCAGGAAAACGGAGCCCATGCGCCCTGCTCCGTCCTGGGCAGGCATGAAGAGCAGACTGGCCTCTCGCTCCAGGAACATCCTGCTTCACCAGTGCAGCTGGAGCCCAGCTTCGATTGGCAGCTTTTTTTGGAGTGAGATGGAAGCCCCGGTTCCAGGGTGCCCCCTCCCAGGCCTTCGCCCAGGAACTGGTTCTGGAGCACCATCACCACCACAAAGGGATGATGGAGCAAGAGGGAAGTTTTGCCTCCATCCAAATCCACAACTGAAAAGGGCTGACTAAACAGGGTGCACTTTGCAGGAGAAAGCTGGGAGCAGATGTCCAAGCTCAAGCCTTCCCGCTGCTCCCAGTGCAGAGCCGGCCCCGTCTCTGCAGGGCCGGCCTATCCCAGCCTGGGACGGGACACACCCCTGTGTGCACTCTGGGCTAAAGCCCTGGGAGCCAGGACGCCAGGCTGGAGCTGTGAACGCACTGATCCTGCAGCACGCTGTGCACCATGGACCTGATTGTCCTGGTTACACTTTGCACAGTGGGTCACTCCAGGGCAGTGACACCAGTGATACTGTAGGAGAATCTGCCTAGCCTTTGTGTTTAAAAGGCAAGACAGCAAGTGTTGGGACACAGCTGGCTGCCCTCAAAGGTGCTGTACTCAGAGCTGCCACTAGAGGGCATTCACACCCTTATGTGCCTGCCAGTCCTCTGGCTGACAGACACAATCAATGGAGCTGGTTGGGTAGTGAGGAGCAGAGGCCCTTTGTGCACACACTAGTGCACTGCACTGATGCCACGGCTTGCGGGTGCTCCATGTGAAGGACCCTACTGAACCCAGACACAACCGGCGCCCAGCGTCGCTGCGGAAATGAATCTGATGTGTATACCTCCACTGAAACCAGGGGCTGCCTCTTAGCTGAGTGTTGGAGGGGAAACAGAGCTGTGTTGCACGCACATTCACCATCGCTCGCACACTCACACATGACACTGTCTGGGAGCAGGGCTTTCGAAAGCAAAGATTGCACACACACCCCAACTTCCAAGAGAATGCAGCTGCTGTCGTGGAGCTGAGAGCTCCTGGGGAAACACACAGATAGCAGAACGGAACCCGCCCCATCAATGCTCCGCTAGTGCAGATCTGCTTGAAGCGACACTAGTGTGAATGCACAGACCTCCCCAGTGACCCCAGCGAGCGTCTCCCGCTGACATAGCTACCGCCGCTCACAGGGGCTGGAGCCATTAAGGCGACGCGAGCGCTTTCCTATCTGCACTAGCAGCCCTACAGTGGCACGGCTGCACTGGTGTAAGCTCTCTAGTGTAGCCATAGCCTGGGTTCCCATGAGCTCAGCTGTGCAGGTCTCAGAGGGAGCCATAAAGCCCTTCTGAAAGGAAGAAAACAGTTGTGAAACATCATGGCTTTAAAGTCTGATATCGGAGGCCCTTCTAGTGCAGGAAACAAGTGCAGAATATCCCATCAGGCCACTGAAATCCCCCTTTGCAGGCAGGGGATAACGTTCCCTCTCTCGCCCTGCAGGGCTGGGTAACCCGGCTTTAAATCAGGACAGAGAAGAGCTGTCCCTGGGGCAGGGCTGAGTCCTGCCTACCCTGGACCGTGGCATCCTTTGTCCTCTGAAACTGCTCCAGGTGGATCCGTCCCGGGGAGATGGATTGTGGGCTCAGGACAGGTGAAAAGGTCAAAGGTGCACCATAAATCTGTTTATCTCACAGCTCAGCTGTTTGCCCTATGGTTCGAATTCATCACAGAGACTCTGTGCCAGGCTTGCCACAAGAGACCCAGCATCTCCCAGACAGTGACTGCCCGAGTCAGCCCTTAGGAGCTGCTCGTCCCAGTGGGTCTGCTGGGAACAATCAGAGCCCACTCACCATACGCTGCTGCTACTGCTGCTGCCTGGCCTCCAGCTCCTGGGTCACAAGGGAAGAGTCGGGGCTCTGAGATGGGGAACGCAGCCCCATAGGCCCATCGGCTGGGCTAGTCAAGCACATTTACCTGCAACCCCTGGGACACCTGCAACTCCAGGGAGACCCCCAACTCCGGGCACCAGGCCTCCGAGACCTCCGACTCCGGGGATGCCAGCAGCACCAGGCACGACGCCAGCACCTGCAGAGAGCACAGAAGCCAGACGATCATTGGCACTCTGGTGCAGAGAGTGCAGAACGGCCCAAACCCCGGGTCAGGTTACAAAGTCAGGGCCCACTCCGGAGTGAACGGAGCAGCAAGCTCCCCGCAGCGTCCCGGAGGGGCCCCGCTCACCAGGCATCCCTGCCGGTGCCCCTGTCGGCACAGTGAGGCCGGGTCTCCCAGCCCCCAGCTAGGCAGGGCTCGCAGGGAACGTCGTTCTCTCTGGCTTCGCTGTGTCACCCCATGCACCAGTTGTTATGTCACGCGTGGTGCACTGGGCGCACGCTCTCCCAGCCGGACGCGAGGCCTGGCCTGGCAGTGCAGGGCTGGTGGAGCATGCCCAGACTGAGGTGCTGGCTGCTCTGCTGGGCCCATTAGTCCCTGTTGCCCTGTATCGTTGCCGATTCTAGCACCACAATGGCGTGCTGCTGCCCGAGAGGCCTGGGACAGAGCAGCCCACACGCCCCCCGCCGGCCAGAGCGGTGCAGGACATGTGAGCACACACATGATGCCTACCCACTCCGGGTGGCAGGGGAAGTCGCTCCCATGCTCTGCTCCTGGGAGTCCCCCAATGGGACACCAGTGCCTGGCCTTCATGGGATCCCTCTCCCGGGTGTCCATCTTGGTTCACTGGTCCCCCAGTGGGACCTTAACCCTGCCCTGGGGCACCCCCAGCTCCACATCCCTAGGCTTTCCCCACTGCCCCACGCTCTGAGCTGCGGGCCCCACCTGGTCTGCAGTGCCATGGCTCACAACAATGGCTCTGCCAGGCTGTACTGGGTGGTGCAGGGACAGTCTGAGGGGCTCACCCCAGAGCTGTGGTTGGCAGGTCAGTGTGGGGGTCTCAGGCTTTTGCCTCGAGGCCCCATCGCTCCCTGCCTCCTGCTCACGTGCGCTCTAGCCCACAATGGCACCCCAGGGCTGGAGTTTGCAGCAGCCGTGGCTCCTTCGCAGGCTGAATGGGAACAGGAGTCCCTGATGCTGCTGCCCAGGGATGGAGCCGGGGTCTGCAAGGGGCAGGTTTATCCATCCGTCTCCATCCTGCCTTCCCGAGGGAGCCCGTTACCCGCCTGGCTTCTGCCAAACACACCACTTTCGTGGTGCGGGTCCTGCTGTGCCACTCTCTAGCAGCTTGGCCCATGCCCATCACCATGGCATCTAGGCTCAGCCAACTCACCATATTTAGCTGCTGCTTTAGCTGCTGCTACCTGAGCTCCAACTCCTGGAGACACAAACATGGAGACGTTCAGGGATCTGGACTTCATCACATACCAGCAGAACAGCTGCCCCCAGGCCCCCTCGGCCACTCCCCACCCCCGGCCACCACCATACTGAACTAGAGAAACCCTCTTGGGTCGCTGTCACGGAGTGTGGGGGGACACAAGGCCCTGCACCCCCGGCTTCCTGCGATTTACCTTGACTCTCAGCCAGCCAGTAAAGCAGAAGGTTTATTTAGACAACAGGAACACAATCCAAGACAGGTCTTGCAGGCACAGACAACAGGATCCCCCCCAGTTAGGTCCATCTTGGGGTCCCAGGGCACCACAGCCCCTTCGGGGGGTCAGAGTCCCGTCTCCCTCCCAGTCATATCACCAGCCAGCTCTGAAAACTCCCCCTCCAGCAACCCCTCCCACAGCCTTTGTTCAGTTTCCCGGGCCAAGGTGTCACCTGGCCTCTAACCCCTTCCTGGGTTCTCATGTTACATGCTCAGGTATTCTCCCTCACGGCCAGTCTCCCATCCCCCAATGCAGACCATCCTAGCCACACTCCCCTGCCTTCCCAGCCAACACTCCCCACTCAGCATTCAAAGACCACATTACGAACAGTCCCAGTTCGTCACAGTCGCCCTGTGATGCGAGGGGAACTCGCCCTTGGCGCCAGCCCTGCAGCAACCTGGCCTTTCCCCCATGAAGAGGCTCAGAGTCAACCACTGCCCAGACACCTGGCCCCAGGGCGGTTCTTCTCCACACCAAGAGGAATTCCACCGCCACGCACCTCCCCCGCCCCTGGAGCCAGCTCCATGCACCCTCCCCCCCAGAGTCAGCTCTTCTCCCCTGCCCCAGCCACTTCCCCTCCTCTAGAGTTAGCCCCCCACTTCCCCAGAGCCAGCCCCATGCCCGTCCCCACAGAGCGGTCGCAGTCTGAGCAGACTGGGAGGAAGGCTGGCTGGCCAGTGGCAGGGCCTGGCTCAAGGCCCCATTCCTGTGCCAAGGAGCATGGGAGACTCTAGGCAGCTGCCCCCTCGGCTCGGAGAGCTGCTCCCTGGGAAGAGGCCAAGCAGCGCACCTGTCCCCGTGGGGTATCCTGCCTTTCCCGCAGCACCAGCACCTAGCCCGCCTGGTCCGTACCCTGCAACCACAAAAAGCAGAGGACTGTTAGTCCCTCCCAACAACTCAGGTAGCTGTGACAGGAGCGGGCAGCCCAGAGGGCAGGGCCTGCTGCAGCCTGCTAGGGGGGAGCCAGATTTCCAGAGGTGCCAATCCAAACATCTCTGAGTGAGGCTGGCTGCGGTGTGAGGCGTGTCCTCAGCGCTCAGCTCTCCGAGCCGCCGGAGGGAGCGAGGCTGGGGCCTCAGCACATCTGGCTTACAGCCCTGCACTGCCGGGATGCCAGGAATCAAGGGAGATGGCTCCAGTTCGGGCCAGCCTCCAACTGGGAGATGTTCACAGTTGTCAGCATTCTTCCTTCCTGGCTAGTCGGGCCAGGGAGGCGGCTGCTCCGCGGGGGGAGCAGGAAGGTGCGTGGGCCTCCAGGCTGGGAGACTTGCACTCAGGTCTCAGGTAACAAAGTACAGCGATAAACAAGCCCTGCCCTCCTCGTGGAGCCCCTGGTCTGGCATTGCAGGCCCACAGCAGGGCAGAGAAAAGGCAGCTGTGAGCCATCTTCACCCTCCCCAATGCTGGGCCACCAGCACTGCCCTGGTCCCAGCTGCTCACAGCCCCAGGGGTCACTCGGGCAGCAGGAATCACAGGGACACCCTTTTGCACAAGAGGATGGGAAGCGGGTGCCCGAGGGTTAAAAGCTGCCTTGTGCTGGGAGAGCAGTGCTCAGCACCCCCGTCTCCAGGCTAGGAGCTTGTCAGCATGACAGTGAGCAGCCCCAGTGCTCTCTGCTTGGCGTGTCTGGCGCTGGGCGTCCTGAGACCTTCCCAAGGTGGGACTGAGGCCAGGTCGTGTGGGCAGGCAGCTGGCACTCCAAAGGCAGAGCTTTTCCTGAGCTGGGGGCTCACACGGGATGTCTGAGCAGCCCCCGAACCGCCTGCAGTCCTGTGCAAACCTTTCTATGAGCTCGCCAGGACTCTCTAGACACCAGCTGCTCGGGGATTTGGTACCAGCTCACAGCCTGGCTGGCCACAGGTCTCAGCTCCTAGGAAATACCTCCCATCAGTCATCCCAGATGGGTGTTGGCACGGACCCCTCTGAGGTTTGGAACAGCTATGGACTCATCCAATGCTATGGACTCATCCCTCGTCTCTGCTGGGAAGCCGCGTTTAGGGTTAGAAGGGGGAAGTCACTGAACCCTTGTGAGCAGATGGCCCTGACCTCATCCCGGGAGGGCTGAGAATGAAAGAGCACTCACCGTAAGGCAGCTTTCCAGTGCTGTAGGGCAGCCCATAGCCACCTAGCAAGAGAAAACACACAGAGACGGGAGTGAGTGCAGCAGCCTGTGCGTGTGAGCTCCATCCCACCTGCCCTGCAGGCCCTGGGACATCGGGCCCCTGCCGCAGCCAGGCAAGACCAGCACACCAGCCACGCCATTCCAAGCCCTGCTCTGCTCCACTTCAGAAGTGCCCCATTTGCCAGCACTCTGTGGAACATGAGCTGTCCAAGCTTAACTCCAAAGGAGACTGTCTCAGAGCCACCCCTTCCTGTGGCAAGCCCTTGCAGACTCCACTTCCTGCCAGCCGCTGGGCCAGGGTAGTGCCAGGCAGTGAGACCCCAGCCCCACATTCCTGGTAGTGGCAGCAGAACCCTCCCAGCTGGTGAGGTTGCCATTTCTCTGATGTTCTGAGGAGCTTCTGCCCCAGGCCAAGGGCCGCACTGCCCACAGCTTACCTCCAAGCAGAGCATGTTTCAAAGCATGTTCCCCAATACAGGCTCAGCAAGGGACCCCCTGAAGCCCTGCAGTGAGAGCTGCTTCCACCCGGCTCCGTGCTGGCCACAGCCAAATGAAAGGCTTTGGTGGAGTCAGTCTTTGGGAGCTCCTGCTGAGGTCAGCAAGGGGACTGGGGCTGGGGCAGCGTGCGGAGAGGAACATTGCCCCTGGGGAGCAGGGGGAACGTGCTGCAGTGGAACAGTCTCCTAGAGAAGGGCTGGGAGCCCCATCGTGTGGGAAGTCTGGACAAACCACACGTCAATACGGAACTCCAGCGGCCTGACTGCAGGGAATGGGGCAGCCTGCTCCATCTCCAGAGTGAGCCAGGCAGGGCCTGGGGAGCCCAGTATCTGGGGCGGGGACCAGCCCCTCAGGCTCTGGCAGGAGCAGATCGAGAAGGAGGAAGATTTAGACTCAAAGGCTGAAGAGAGGCTGCTGATTTCAGGCACCTCCATTTTTGGTACCCAGCCTGAGACAACTTGAGTTGAGCCCACGTTAGAAACTGTGGGCCTGATCGTCCCCACAGCACTCCCTGGGGGGAAGGGGGGGGCTTCTCCCCTGGCACCAGAGCCGTCTCCAGCCAGAGGAGGCCGGGGGGTGCAGGGATCAAAGTGAGTCAGAGCTTTATTGCTCATGTCTCTGCGGGTGGTGAGTACTCTCGCCCCTCCTGCAAGCCAACATGTGGAGACCAGATTTCCCTGCGCCCATTCCAGGCGTTCCCACATCAACACGGCCCTGACAGAAAGCAGAGCTCTCTGGCCAGATGCTGCTATGTGAGCTCTGTGCTGGGGAGGCTCCATTTCACAGGATTTTAGCAACCCGCCAGTCCCTAGGGCTAGTTGTCTCCACACGCCGCACGGTACCTTCGGCGCCTAGACATGCCTGCCGGGCTCTTACTGGTGATAAGATAAGCAGGCTGGGCTGTGAAGCCATATTAGTGCCCTGATCTCTGCCTACCTGCGTGCGGCACAGACAGGGAAATTAAGGCACAGCACAGCCTGCTGAGAGACCACAGATTTAGCCTGGACTATAACCCAGCTCTCCCAAGCTCAGGCCTGCACGTGTCGGCCACCAGAGCTTTCTGATAATTGGCTCGGCAGTGGCGACAGCGGGACTTTGGTTCCTCAGCAATCTAAACAGAAGCAAAAGGCATAGATGGCTGCATTACTAGTCGGCTGTGTGGTATAAACAGCCTGGGTGGTGCACAGCCTGGCCGCACTGGGAGCATGCCCACCGGGCCCTGGTTGTGGGATTCCAGTCCGTTATCCCCACGGGCTGCAAGTAGGGATGTTGGCAGAGTACTGGGCTAGCCAAACTCAGCCAGCGGCCCAAGGAGCATGAGTCTATGAGCCTCAGACCACATGGCCTTGGCCAGAGCCCAGTGTGCACCAGATCAGAGCTGCTGCTCACAGAGAACACATATGAAACTCGAAATGCAACTCTGGGCCGGCCACCACTGACCGCAGCCTGCGAATTTCTCAACCATGCAGGGCAAAATTCATCTCTGTGTGCCAGGCTGCAGGGAGCCTTCTCCTTGCAAAATGGGCGCCGGCTACTGACTCCAGTGAGGACAGGGGTTCACCCACAGGTTCAGAGATGTGAAGGCTAGAGGGAGCACTGTGATCATCTAGGCCAGTGGTTTTCAAACTTTTAAACTGGCGACCCAGTTGAAGAAAATTGTTGATGCCTGCGACCCAACAGAGCTGGGGATGAGGGGTTTGGGGTGTGGGAGGGGCTCAGGGCTGGGGCAGAGGGTTGGGGTGCAGGGGTGAGGGCTGTGGGGTGGAGCCGGGAATGAGGGGTTCAGGGTGTAGGAGGGGGCTCTGGGCTGGTGCAGGGGGTTGGGGTGTGGGAGGGGATCAGGGCTCTGGGATGAGGGTGCGGGCTCTGGGATGGGGCCGGGGATGAGGGGTTTGGGGTGTAGGAGGGGGCTCTGGGTTTCTGGGGGCTCAGGGCTGGTGCAGGGGATTGGAGTGCAGGGTTGGGGCGTGGGCTTACCTCGGGTGGCGGTGCAGCGGGGGTGCAGAGGCAGGCTTCTTGCCTGTCCTGGCACCGCGGACCGCACTGTGCCCCGGAAGTGGCCAGCAGCAGGTCTGGCTCTAGGTGGAAGGGCGCAAGCGGCTCCACGTGGCTCTCGCCTGCAGGCACCGCCCCCCTGCTCCTACTGGCCGGGAACAGCCAATGGGAATGCGGAGCAGGTGCTCGCGGCTGAGGCAGCACGTAGAGCCCGTGCCCCCCCCCGCCTAGGAGCCAGACCTGCTGCTGGCCGCTTCTGGGGTGCAGCGCGGTGTCAGAACAGGTAGGGACCAGCCTACCTTAGCCGGGCAGCACTGCCGACGGGACTTAACAGCCCGGTCGGCAGTGCTGACCAGAGCTGCCGCAACCCAGTGTCTGACATGCCACAACCCAGTTCTGGGTCGCGACCCGCAGTTTGAAAAACACTGATCTAGTCTGACCCCTGCATAGCACCGGCCAGAGACCTGCCCTGAATTAATTCCTGGTTGAACTAGAGCAGAGCTTTTAGAAAACCAGCCAGTCTTAATTTAAAACTGGCCAGGGATGGAGAATCCACCATGACCCCTGGTAAGTTGTTCCAATGGGTAATTCCCCTCAGTGTTAACATTTTACACCGTATCTCCAGTCTGAATTTGTCTAGTTTCACCTTCAGCCATTGGATCATGTTAGACCTCTCTCTGCTATCACTAAGGGCTTGATCCTGTGAGGGGCCTAAACACTCCAACTCCCATTGTCTTTCTTGGTCCTTAGGGAACAGTCCTATAAATGGTATAGAGATGAAGCCTAGAGAGCTCTACAGAACCTTGATGGGGTGCTTCATACCTATGGAATGCAATAGGGAAGTGCTATTACTCCTCTGTATGGTGTGTCTTAAACAGCCTACAGAATCCCTGAGCAGGGACAGACTTCCCTCCTCGACTGGGTGAGGCAGAGCAAAGCACTGGAGCTGGGTGGAATTTTTTTGTCTGAAAATGTTTCTCACCAAAAAATGGGATGAAGTTGAAAATGAACCACGGCTTTGGTGTAAAATGTTATTTTCAGGGATAGTTTTTGATTTTTCAGTGGAAAACTTAGAAACAATATGAAATGATTTTTTTTGTTTAATTTCTGTTTTCCAAAACCAAATACTCTGGGGATAATTTTTCCTAAGTTTCTCCCCGTTCCCCCATATTCTTTTCTCTTTTTTCATTTTTCTTTTCTCACTGTGTAACTTATTGAAATGTTGAGAAAATTACAGTGAAAAAAGGTGGGAGAGGGAAGAGAAAGAAGAAAGCGGAAAAAACATTTTATTGCACTCAGTGGCAAAAACAAAAATTCAAAATGTCAAAGAAATATGTTGTGAACAAAATTTTATTTTTTTCCCCAGTTTGAAACCCCATAAACAGGGAACAACTTCACAATTCAAAAATTTGCAAGAAATTGTTGAGTGCTGCCTCTTGAAAGAACCCACCAACAGGGCAAACAGATCCCTTACGGCCTGGGGTGTCCTACACCCGCCACTCAGGCAGCTGCCACCATCACCCAGCTTTGCACTTGGAAATTTTACCACAGCTCCCTTATTGCAAGGGCCCTGTCCTCTGGTCCGTACAGTAGGTGCTCTTCGAAGGCCACTGCGGGAAAACCCAGTCACCACAGCTCCACTGCAGACTTCTCAAACTCTGACTGGGATCATTACAAGTCAGCCCAGGAGTGAGCTAATTTAGAGTCCCTTCCTGTCACCTTCAGCCAGGTCACAGGACAACCTGCCTCCAGCCGGGAAGCTCAACTCTCTCTCCCAAAGCTCCTCGCCTGGCGTTCCAACCAATACTGTCTGGTGGCTGCTCTTCAGTACTGCCTGGTCAGACAACCCATGCAAAGGGAGAGGGCTGCTACTCCCCCAAGAGACACAGGGCGGTCGCTGCTACAGAAAGGCGATAGCTCCTTAGTCAAATAACTCACAGGAAGGGTGAGCTCAGCCTACTCTAAGATTAAATGGCTGTTTGCTTCCTATTCTGGTCACCAATAAAAAGGCAATGTCTGCCTAGTGCAATAACTCACAGAAAGAGCCATCACTGCCTATGAAAATAATCCACACAAAGACCTAGCGCTGCCTAGTCAAATAACCCACCATAGAAAGGATGATCGCGGCCTATTCTAATAATCTCAAAGGGCCATTGCTTCCAATGCTAATCAATAGAAAGGTAATGTCTTCCTAGAACGGCAACAAATGCCTGTTTAAATTTCCCATAGAAAGGGTAAACAATGCCTAGTCAAATAACCAATAGAAAGGAGGATTTCTAGCTATGTAAATAACCCACAGAAAGGGCTATGGCTGTGTGACGCAGTAGGGAGCGGGGTGGATTGACCTGGGAATGTCGTTTAGTTTTACTGGACTGTCTGCATGGGGGATGGGAGAGCAAGGGATGACTTTAGGTGAGGGATGGTACCTGAGCCTGTAACCTGAGCCAGGAAGGGGGGTGGGGGGAGTCGACACCTTTGCCCCGGAAACTGGACAAAGGGAGAGGGGGAGA